CTGAATAGTTTTTTCAAAGTAGAAAATCCAGAAATAAACCCAGTATAAATTTGAAAACTCAATGTATGACAAAGGTAAGCTTTCTAATCACAAAAAACAAATTATTTAAGAAATGCTTCTGGCACAAATGGCTAGCTATTGAAAATAAAATAAATTGGGTCCTATTATCTTATTACATAAACAAAAATTAATTGAATTAAATAAACATAATCTAGAAAATCTAGGGTACTACATGACACAATCCAGGGACAGGTAAGACTTTTTAAGAAGCTAAGGTAAAAACCCAAAAATGATACAAGAAATAAAACACATTTTACTAAATGAATGTATCTATTGCAAAAGATACTACATGGCAAGTCAGATGATAGAGCTGAAAAAGCACTGTGAAGGCAGGACAGAGTAGTAATATCTATTATCCATTAAAAAAAAAGATAACCAACCAATACAAATAAGGATTTAGAGAAGGGATGCTTTTGATTGAAAAAGTTAAGATGAATATGCATACTGAAATTTGATGCTGTTGTATAAAATAAATGGTTTAAGAAAATCTCTGCATATCAGTATTTCTGTGTGTGTGTGTTATAGACAATAATTTTTAAGGATTGTATGAGCATGCAGGAGAAAAACCAAAGGCTACTCACTAGTTTTGCAAGGATGTTTGCGGAGCAGTAAGTAGAGGTAGGTGAGCCAAATTAAAAAAGAAAAGGGAAAAAAGCAAAAGTAAAAGCCTTTTTTTATAAAAGGCTTTTGTATAAAAATTTTATACAGTGTTATAAAATTGTACATATGTGTGGACATGAAAAATAAGATTAAAAGGGGCTTGAAACCAAACTTGCCAAAGTGAACAGCCAAGTAAATGTCAGTGTTTGGATGCTCTTCTGCCTGCAGTCTCAGAAAATGCCTGAAGTGGCTGTGGAGGACAAGTATTATCATTTTGAATTTGAGTTTGTGTGTTAGCTTGACTGTATTAAAGGACCGTCAGTTCAATCTGGTTTTACTGTCTACTCCAGGGTCAGCAAACTTTTTGTAAAAAACCAAGTAGTATTTTAGGTTTTATGAGACATACTGGCTCTGTCACACTACTCAACTCTGCTGTTGTAGGGTAAAAGTAGCCATAAACCGTTATGTAAGTGACATGTGTGTTAACTCCGAGAGGCTAGAGTATCAAGTTATTTCAACAAACACTAATTTAGGCATTGCAATGAAGCATTTTGTAAATGTGGTTAAAATCTACAGTGTGTTGACTTTAAGTAATTGAAATTACCCTTTTTTTAAATTGAAGTATATAGCTGATACACCATCTTACATTAGTTTCAATTAAATAACACAGTGGTTCACCAATTACCCCCATGGAGATTACTCCGATAATATGATGGCCTTACCCAATCAGCCTTGAGAGCAAAAACAGCTTTTCTGGAAAGGAAGAAATTCTGCCTCAAGACTGCAGTATTAGCTCCTGTCTGAGTTTCCAGCTTTCTGGCATGCCCTACAAATTTCAAAATTGACAGCCCCTACAACTATATGAGCCAATTCTCTAGACAGATAGATAATGTATATTTTTGCTTCTGTATCTCTAGACAACCCTAATACATAGACACCACATAAACTAATGTTCCAATAAAACTATTTACAGTAACAGGTAGTGGGGCAAATTTTTTACAGTAACAGGTAGTAGGCCAGTAACGGTACACAGTGGGCCTGTGTACTATATTTTTTCACATCCTAGTATTATCAATAATAAAGATAGTTGCTTTTTTAAAAAAAACTCCAAGTTTCAGGCAGTGTGAAAGGTATTTCACATATGGATTCCAAGTACTCCCAAAGTTGGGATGTGTTCCTGACCGGGCCAATTATTCTGGAGTAGCTATATGAGCAAGGAATGATATTCCTACGATCAGTGAGATCTAGACCACAAGCTTAAGTGTATGAAAGAGTTCCTTAGAGATGGGTTTCAAGATGGCATTCTCTTTACTTGTTTTTACCATGTTTTACCTGTTGGTTTATTGAAGGTTATTGCTGCTGATCCAACAGAAGTCACCCAACAGAATGTCTCAGCTGTTCATTTATTAAATGCAGAAAGTTTCAATAAAACTTGATAAGGGGAAATACAAAATTTGCAAAATCACTAAATCAGGGGATTATTATTTTTGGAATGAAAGGAATTTTTACATCAAATATTTAAAACAAACCATCTTTAAGTAATGTATTCCTTAGAAGAGTCCTCAATCTATGGACTATTATTAAATAAAAATAAAGATTACATATTTGAAGTTACCTATAACTTTAAATAGTAGATCCTCAAATCTGGTTGATATCATAGTATTCCCCTCCTCAGGAATTAGTAAGATTATCATTTGAGAAGAAATTGGCATCCTTTGCTTTCAAGTCAGGGATCTCCTAATAAGTACTCTTACCTCATCCCAAGTATTATTACCTCCTATTTCCCAAAAGTTTAAGAAATAACCTAATTTAAAAATGATTTGATTCACAAAAAGCAAATATAACCACATCTTTTTAAGATCATGTCATTTCTGCAAAGTGAGTAACATCGATAAGATTGCCCTTGCCATTGAGAAACGTCTTAGATTAGGTTGTGAGATGATAAAAAAATAGGGCAAACAGGAACTTTGTAATTCAGTATCTGAATGAGAATTCTAAGCTATGAGGTAGTCGAAGAAATATTTAGACATAAGAAGAAAGGCTGTTGTGACCATCACCAATGATAAGTGTATAAAGTAGAAGGTGAAAAAATTAATAACAGCAAATAAGACCCTAATTTAAAGAAGAAGCCAAGTCCAAAAATTGAAACTAATATAAGTGGTGTGGGAAGTGCTGAACAAAGATATTTAGACACAGAAAAGATGTCAGAGCTGGTCATAAGAAAAGAGTTCAGCAAAGCAAGATCTAGTGGGGGAACTCTGTCCATAAAACACAACAATGGAGTACAGTCCTGATTTCAAATATTTTGCCTATAAAATCATTTTATCTTGACTTTTAGCTCAGATAATATAGTTGCTATTGTACTTCCTGTATCCACAACTCCTATCAAATTGACTTTAACAGAGGATAATCTAAATTATTTATTAATAATGATAATTACCTGGAAACTCAAATTAGAGAAAGTACGTTAACAGTAACCATTCTTAAAGAATAAAAACATATTTATCAGTGGTCTTTACCTACTGATTAGCATCAGTATGAAATTAAGGGTCTAAAAGTTCTGTTTAGCATAGGAAATTGGTGCTACACTCACCTCTGCTGATATCATCAGTGCTGGATGGGAATGAAGCCATAGTCCACCATAATCTGAACCATCCTTGTCAGGTTTGGGGGTTTTGTAGAGAGTTACCGCTATCAGATTTGACTGCCATAGCTCAGGAAAATGGTACAGTCATTCCTCTTAGTGCAGAATATACTTGAGAAGATGTTTAAGGGACCTATGTAACATTAAGCCCCAGAAAGACAGTATTAGCAGTGGTTTAGACATGGAATGTAATAGCAACAATTATGGAATGCTTACTATGTTCCAGGAACTGATGCAATATCTCATTTAATCCTTTCAACAACCTAATGGGTATTATTAACCCCATTTTACAGGAAAGCAAGGCTTAGCAAGGTTACAGAATTGCTCAAGACAACAAATTGCAAAGACAACAAAACTAGAGGCAGGGCTGAGATTTGAATTCATGCATCCTGGAAGCTTCTGGGTGCATACAACGATAACCACAATGCTATCAGAAAATGAGTTTTCTAAACAAGGGCAAATTACTTTCTTCAAAAGTAATCTGTGTTCACTGTATCCCATAACAGATGCTTAATCTTCAACTCACATCCTAAAAAGTTAGATTGGCATTTATGCGCAAACTTTAAATAATAACAAACTAAATCTTTTAAATTTATAATACTCCTAATTTACAATAATGAAGTATGGGCAGTCTTGTTAGTTTTTTAGCGTGAAATGGGGATGATAGCACACTCCTTTCAGATGAAATGACAAATAAATAATATAAACCTCATATTTTATTTATTGGAATTATTTGGACCCAATGAATTGCTTAAAAACAACTTAATAAAACAGTCACTTTAAAACTCAAGTGTCAGTATGTGTCCAAGTTTCACTAACTTATCTTTACTGGAAAAGAACTTTGTTTGACACGTTATTCAAAATCCAAATGCTACTAACGAAATTCACAGAAATGGAGCTTTTTCCTCTAACCAGCTCCCTTTTATTTATTACTACTCATTTCCATCTTGGTTTGCCACGTTTACAGTTTTTTAAGTTTTGTCTAATTTTCACCAGACCCTTTACCTCACAATTTTCCTCCCTCTTTCTAAATGGGTGAATTTTTACTGCAAAATCTGAAGCAACACTGCCAAAGATTAGTATCACGATTTTAAAAGATTTGACTGTAAAACTACACCCCTACCAAGACTGAATTACTACAAGGTACGAACGGTCCCAGACAGACCGGCTCCAAACCTTCAAGGGTACGGAGGGCTCGCAGACAACAGACAGCCGGCAGGGAGGGGAGGAGGGGAGGTCGGAACAGGCAGCGCTTCATTCAAGTCAATAAACATCCACGGCGCCACTTACTAAGCGCACTTAAAAAAAAAAAAAACAACTGGGCGAACAGTGGGCCCTGCAGGTTGGCCGGAGGGGCGAGAGTCGGCGGCAGGGACGCGGGTGCCCGGGAGCGGCAGGGCTGGATCACAGCCCCCCGCCAGCCAGGCGAGGGCGGCCAACGAGGCAGGGCCTCCAGCGCCCCGCTCCCGGCGCCCGCACGCCCGCCCGCCGACCGCCAGCTCACCGGCCGGCCTGCCGCAGCCGCTTACCGGTGGCGCCTCTCTGCCTCCCCAGGGCAGCCCTTCACCGAGTGCCGCAGTCAGAGCACCACCCCGCGGCGGGGTACGTCGAGCCCGCCCGCCAGCCCGCTGCTCTCGGATTCCCGCAGCGCCGCCACTCTCGCGAGAAGCCGCTGGAGTCCGCGAAGTTGGGGGGAGGAGGAGAAGGGAGGGGCGTTGAACGGTGGAGGCTGGTTCTGCGCCGGATCCGGGAGAGGGGCGGGCGCCATTGTGCTTCGCTGCCGACTGCTCTGCCTCAGGTGGAGGCCCAGAACTCCGCGGAGGAAGGTAATGGTGTGGTCGTTGCGAGCGTCCGGGCCGCGCCCTCCCCAGGGCCTGCTCGGGAGCAGGGCTAACAAGCTGGGAGCCCGGGCTTCCCCGTCCTGGGGAGTTGTTCTAACCCAGGCCGGCGGTGGGGGAAGGGAGGGAACGAAGTGCGGGCGTGGGCGCGGAGGAATAGAGGAGCCTGGATAGAGACCTCGGAGGCGAAGGGGAACCGTGCACAGACCCCCATTGTCGGGGACTTTTCATCCGGTGGTGGAGTTTATGACGGGTGAAGGGAGCAGCTGTGCGTTTAACCGACGTGGGGTAGGCGAGGGTGCGGGGCTGGAGCCCCGCTTGGCGACCTCCTTCCGCCGACATGAGAACCCTCCGGAGCCCTGCGGGCCGGGATTGTCACGAGTGAGGTACTCAGTGAGCGCCGTGTTGAAGGCGGGGAGGCTTAGGGCTCTGCCAGCCCAGCCTCGAATTGAAGAGAGTTTGCCAGCCTCTTAGAGGCAGTGAAGATTTAGTCATTGATCGCTCAAGTTCTTGAGTATCGTGATACTTGGGGAGTTGTTTCTGTGTTGTGGTAAATTACGTGTTCTTTATATTTAAATAGGTGATAGGTTTGTATAAAAACGGACCGGTTGGCCTAAGAAGAAAAAATATGAAAGGCACCAGTTGTAGGATATTCCCTTATTTTGATGAAACTGCGTAGTGAAGATGAACGTGCTCAAACCAAAAAATACTATGTAATTAACACTTTCTTTCCTAAGTACAGATGTAGATGTTAATATGTGGGGGTAATCTCTGTCTTGGTAATAAATTCACAGTTGGTGTCGTTTGACACTATTAAGAGTAAAGTAAATTGAGTAAGGTTTTTTTTCTATATTGTAGGACTTATTAAGCATCTTAACTTCCTTTTTCTTTCACCTGTTTCTCTGTAGAACCAAGAGGTAAAGTTAAAGATGAGTTTTTCATTGTTAAATATCAATATGCAGTTGTTAACAAGGAAGGCACGTAATGTAACTAGATTTTTTTCCTGAGATAAAAAGTTTTGTTTCAGAAATGGGGTCAGTATTTCATTTACAGCTCTACAGCATTTTGTGAAACAGCAGTGGTGTGTAAGGCATTAGAATCAGAAGATCTGGGCTTGAACCTTGATTTTGCCATAATTAACCTCTTCAGATTGCCTTAGAAACACCCCTAGAGTTGGGGTGAGGATTAGGGTAGATGAGGTACTGTGTACCAGTCAACACGCTGAGGGATATCTTAATTGCCGAGTGAGTTTTTAATGGATATGAATTACTGGAATTGATCATTAAAGCCCAGTTGTTTATAGTCACGAATTCTGGTGAGAATAACCTGTAAATTTTACTCTTCTGGTAATATGTCTCTCACAGAGTGATATTGGTACATGAGAACTCATACAGTTAAAGTGATACAATAATATATGTAAGTTCTTTAAAAATATTTACACATAAGAACTCTTCTTTTGCCCTAACATATCACAGATGTAAGCATGATGAGTATGCATAGTCTTGGGTTTTTTCAGTTGCATGTTAAGTCAAATGTCTTGAATAAGAATGATGAAATCTGCTTATTTAAGTACAAGTGTTTCTCTTTTTGCCACTTTGACGAAACTTACTGTCCTATATTATAAAATACAGTGATGCCCCTATGTAGTCATGCACATATGTTCTACGTAAAAGTGCGGGATAATCAACTTGGATGTAAAAAGTTATCTATGGCTCATGCTTCCAATTTTTAATCAGCTTCATGTCTACTTCAAACAAGTGTTCATCTGGTGTATGTTCAAAAGTTGTCCGCATTTTTAAAAGAATATTTTAGGAAATTAGTGTAAAATTGTCAAATAATGTAGGACTTTTTTGATCATTTGTTATTTGCTGTATTCTGGCTACTAGATTAGGGCTTCATGTTATTAGAATGAGTTTGACCCAATGTCTATCGTTCACAACTGACAATTTAGTCAGAAGACTAATATATAAACAACTTGTGCTGTTATCTTAGTGTAAGTATATAGTAGTACTGTGGGAGTATAGAGAAGAGTGTTTATTTTAACATGGGGAATTTTTACAGGAAGTATTGCTTGAAATGAGACATGAAGGATGATTAGAAGTTTGATAAGGAAACTTGCAGAGTCATGGTATTGTGGTTTTGGGAATGGACAGTATGATCCCCATAGCTGAAACAAATTAAATGGGAGATTAGAACATGGCACAAAAGACCTGTTATAGAAAGAGGTTCTGTGCTGTTTGGATTGAAGGGCAATTGTTTCCCTAAGTCAAATAAAAATGATTTTTAGATTATTTTTGCTGATAAATCTTTGTTACTGCAGACAATTAAATGCCAGTAGTAAAGAACAGTGGGAAGTACATAAGTGAAATTCACAGGCTTGCATCAGGTCACATTTTTAACCAACAAATTAAACCTAAGAACTAATGTATCTTTTAACTGTTAAATATCAGAATCAACAGTTGATCATATTAGGATGATTACAATTTTAAAATGAGTAAGATTTTGTGTCCCTACTGAGATCTACTTGAATTCACTAACAATTCTATTACGGTGAAATAATTTATCTTCTCACAAATAATTGTTTTAGAAAAATTCTATTTTTGAAATAGTTGCTAATCAAAAAAAGAACCCAAAAGGTGGAGATGGATTATCGAGGGTAAAATTATAATTTGAGAGTTGTCTGGGATTTAATTTTCATTTGATCTAAATTTTTAAAATTTTTCTGCTGTGGTGAACTCATACAGTTAAAGCTGGTTTTTCTTGCTCAGGTATATTTCTCTGTGGCTCTACCAGTTAGACTAGATTAGTCCAACACCTGGTTTTAAAATCACCTACTGTTCTACACCCACTTTTGTCAACAGCTTTAAAAGAGGGCAAAGGTTGACTCTTAAAAGCTAGTTTTCATCTTTGCATTGTGATCATTGTACTTTAATGTGCTTTTCACTTTTAGAAAAAAAACCTGAAATTGTTTCTGCCTACTGAAGATTGAAACTTGACACTTACAGATTAAATACACTTCAAAGGAGAGCAAATTATCTCATAAAGTACCATATGTAATGTAGACTTAACATCATAGCCATATTTTCTCATGGTGATATTAAACTTTTTTCTAGTTATTATTTTTTAAGACTTGGGTATATTTCTGTTTCGTAAATATATGTCAGCTAAAAAAAGCAAGAGGCATTTTTTTTTTTAAGACCCAAAAGTCCTGTGCTATCAAAGTGCTTTCCTTATGTGATCACTTTTACTTTTCCAGTCTCCTTGTTCACTAGGACCTTGCATTAAGGGAAAAAAAATATTTTCCCCAGAAGCAAATGTTTGAAACATGAGGAAATACCAGTACATATAAATAATGGAATTGTAACTATGTTTGCATTTATGGAAGACTAGTGACTATAGAAATTCATTAGATTTTGGGTGATAACTGTAGCTTTATGCCATGAATGTGTCATACAGGCATACCTTGTTTGTGCTTTGCTTTACTGCACTTAGCAGATACTGGTGGGGGTTTTTTGTCTCTTTTTTTTCCTTTTTCTTTTGGTATCATTAATATACAGTTACATGAGCAACATTGTGGTTACTAGATTCTCCCCCCATTATCAAGTCTTTTTTTTTTAATTGAAGGGTTGTATCAATCCCGTGTCTGGTGAGACTAGACACAATTTTTCCAACAGCATTTCTCACTTCATATCTCCGTGTTGCATATTGGTAATTCTTGACAATATTATATATGTTACAGTGATCTGTAGTCAGTGATCTTTGATGTTTCTGTTATAAATTTAGGGGGAACCACAAACCGTACCCATATGAGATGGTGAGCTTAATTGAAAAAAGTTGTGTGTGCGTACTAGCTGCTCAACGCCTAGCTGTTCCCCCTGTCTCTCTCACTCTCCTTAGGCCTTCCTGTTCCCTGAGACACAACAGTATAGAAATTAGGCCAGTTAATAACCCTGGAGTGCCCTCTAAGTGTTCTAGTGAAAGGAAGACTTGCACACCTTTTGCTTTCCATCAAAAGCTAGAAGTGATTAGGCTTTGTGAGGAATGCATCTTCCAAGCCACGATAGACTGAGAGTTAGGTCTTTTGCACCATACAGCCAAGTTGTGAATGCAAAGGAGAAGTTCTTGAAGGAAATTAAAACTACTGCTTGAGTGAACACATGAATGATAAGAAACAGAACAGCCTTATTGCTGAAGTGGAGGATGTTATAGTGGTCTGGAAAGATCAAACCAGCCACAAGATTCCCTTAAGCCAAAGCCTAACCCAAAGGCAGGCCCAGTTACTCTTCAGTTCTGTGAATCCTGAGAAATGAGGAATCTGCAGAAGAAAAGATTGAAGGTAACAGGTTCGGATTGGCTTCTGAGATTTAGGGACAGAAACCTTCTCTAAATATCACAGTACAAGGTGAAGCAGCAAGTACTGATGTAGAAGCCGCAGCAAGTTAACCAGAACATCTAGCTAAGAAAATTCATGATGGTGGTTACATTAAACAGCATATTTTCATTGTAGATAAAACAGCTTTCTATTGAAAGAAAATGCCATCTAGGACCTTCTTTTAGAGAAGTGAAGTCAATGCATGGTTTGAAAGCAAAGGTCGACCCTCTTGTTAGGGACTAATGCAGCTGTTGACTCATGCTCACTGGCCATTCTGAAAATCCTAGGGCCCTTTAGAATGATGCTAAATATACTCCGCCTGTATTCTGTAAATGGAACAAGGCCTGGATGACAGCATATCTGTTTACAACATGGTTTACTGAATATTTCAAGCCCACTGTTGAGACCTATAACTCAAAGAAAGATTCCTTTCAGATATTACTGCTCATTGACAATTCATCTAATCACCCAAGAGCTCTGATGGAGATGTACAAGGAGACTAATGTTTTTGTGCCTACTAACACAACATCTGTTCTGCAGCCCATGGGTCAAAGAAAACTTCAACTTCAAAGTCTTACTGTTGAAGAAATACATGTCACAAAGCTATAGCTGCCAT